TGTGACGTTCGCTGCGCCAACTAGCGGTGGGGTATCTGAAGCTGGCTCGTAACCCGAATTTTAGCTCGCAACTCAAAGCAAAAAGTCGGCCGAGAGACAGCTCATATCTCGAAAAACTCATTAGTCGGGACACTCGTAAGTCAAGGCCCCACTGTATTCATGGTTAGGCCCAGGGCAAGCCTTGTTGGACTGCAGTTCCCTCCAGTCAGCAACTATGGTGTCTGTGCTGATGCCTTGAAACTGGAGATATTCCTGCCCTAATATGCATCACGTTTGTGCATGTAAATAAGTTAATGTAGTTTATTGAGGTGAAATTCATGTAACATAAAATTAGCCACTTGAACAATTCATTATTGAATTGTTCAAGTGGTTAATTTTATGTTACATGAATTGAGTTGTTCAAAAAAACAGCCTGGGCGCTTAACGTGTTAAGGCTTTCTTTCTCTGACTGATAACAGCAGGACATGACCACTTTCTGTGTTTGTAGTTCTTGCTAATTGGCCTCTGTTTAATTTCTGTAGTTCCTTTTTGTGCAGCAGAAATTCTTGAAGTACTTTTTCTTTAGGCAGATTTTTTCTTTAATGAAGTTCTGTAACATAACAGGTGATGCAGTTTTACATTTAAACTTCAGGGCTTAACTTTGGTCTATTTTTAAAACAAAATTTTCATGTTAAGGGAAAATAATGGTGTTAAGTGTTAAAATTGTATACTTATCTTGCTAAGAATCATGATGAGTACTGTATTTTTTCATGTATAAGATGCTATATTTTTATAAAATTGTTAGACTGAAAATCAAGGGGTGTTTTATACACGTAAGTCAGCCGAGGAGGGAGCCGTGTGGGTGCATAGCTGCCCATACCTTGTCAGACAGGCTTCCTCCAATCATGAGTCTTTTGTTACTGACGTCACCTGATGCTGTAATTGGAGATGGAGGTGGAGAGTGTGCAGGTGCAACAGGGACCAGAGCGTTCTGAGCCCATAAAGATGTCAACATATCTTCTATCTATATATATAAAAGGCTAATATGTAAAATCCCCCTTCGGGAATTAGACCGGGAGTTTGTTCATTTGCTGTGACGTGCGCTGACCACCAAGGGGTGGCGTGGAATGAAGGAAGGCCCCACCTGACAGCCAGCAGGTGGGGAAGGAAGGCCCCAGCTGGCAGCCCTGATTGCTGGCTAGGCCTATGGACCCTACCTGTGCACGAATTTTGTGTGCCGGGCATCTAGTGAAAAGATAAATACTGGTAAATGATTGTCTTACTCTGCAAAATTCAAACTATGTAATCAGCTAAGCAAAAGAGCAAGGAAATAGTGCTGCAAAGAGACAATTTGGACCTCTTCCCACTGAGTGTATGATCAGACAGTGGAGAAAACAGGAAGAACAACTCCTTAAGATGCCACAAAAGAAGAAGGCCTTAAGAGGAAAACCAGCAAAATGGGCAAACGTGGAGCAGAGGCTTAAGACTTGGATTATGGAGCAGTGCCAAGTGGCTTATGTGTGTTCAACCACGCTTATTCAAGGTCAGGCAAGAATGTTTGCAAGTGAAATGGATGCTGGAAAGGCAAAATGGTGCTTCAATTTCATGAGGAGAGTTGGGTTGGCCATGAGAACACGAACAAAGTTAGAAAATGTCACCAGTTTATGAGGATGATCTCACGTATACAGACAGTGACTCAAGACAGCAGTGACACAATAGAAGTTGGAGAAATTGATGTGCCTGGAACTAACAGTGATGAAGAAGGGAGCAGTGATGCAACAGAGGCTGCATAAAGTGATATGCTGCATAGTATCATAGTACTGGTACGTAAACGTTAACTGTAGTACTTACTAAATAAAATGTGTTCTGTTTTATGTTTAAAATAATGATTTCTTAATTTTGGGAAAAATGGGGGGCGTCTTATACATGAGGGTGTCTTATACAATGAAAAATACAGTATATATTTTCAAGGTAATGCTAGTCTTGAATTTTTTGTTTTATATATTGGGGGAGAGAATTGGGTTTATTAAGCTCATAGAGGATTTAAAAAATCCTGTGGTCATGCCTTTAAATTAGTGATAAAAAATTAAAAAGAAAAAGTTTTAACAATAAAGTAGTGAAAATAAAGGACACCTCTTAATCCTTCCCTTACTTTATTACTAAAATCTATAGTTTTGTTAACAGTAAATGTATTCTAAGAATCTCTAGGACTTTGTTCCTAACAGGTTTTGTAACTAAAGGAATGAAATCTTCCATAGTACTTGTAAACGTCATTTGTTACACATCAAATATAACAGTACTAGAGGCCCAGTGCACGAAATTTGTGCACAGGTAGTGTCCCTAGGCTTGGCCAGTGATCAGGGCCGATCAGATTCCCCGCCTCCCTGCCTCCTCCTTCCCTTGCTGCCTGGCTGCGTGCCGCCACCATGTGGTTCCCCCCGCCTCCTCCTTCCCTCACTTCTTCAGCGCCCCGCCACCGCCGCTGGTTGCTCGCCTTGTTCCGTGCCACCCCCTGGTGGTTAGCGCACATCATAGTGAGCAATTGAATTCCCAGTTGAACTTCTGAGGAGACACTTCGCATATTAGCCTTTTATATGTATAGATGAGCAATTTTAAAATTTCCTCTATTACTGAAAGCAATTATAGTTAGTTAATTCCTTTGATCATTTGGAAGAGTCAATAGATGATACAACTTCTATTGCTTTGGCATTTTGGGGGGGTCTAAGAGAACATTTATTGCGAAAATCACAGAGATAAAGAAATAATTTGTAGAAGAAATGAACTTAGGAAAGAAGTTACAGAGGCAAAGGAAGGGCCCGTAGAGCCTAGCAGTGAGGAGGCAATGGCAGGGCCTTACTGCAGCATCAGACATTCTGTGGCCTCCCCCCTGTGGCCCTGCAGTGCTATCACCTCGAGGAGGGTGCTCTGTGACCTAGTGGGTGGAGGCCCTGGGCGCTGGTTAACATCCTACACACAGCGCATAGCTCCAAGTACAGACAGAACTTTCAGCCCTGTGGCGTTCATTGTGCTGCTGATGCTGCTGTTGAGAAGTGTGCCTGGGGGCACATGTGCCTCTCCCCAGCTGAAGTGGGGGAGGGGGGAGTGGGGGGAAGGGAGGGGACAGGATGTGTGCCTCTCCCCAGCTGGGGGGTGAGGGGGACATGGGCCTCTCCCTGGTTGCAGGCTGGGAGTGTACTCTGAGCACTGATGTAAAGGAGCATCTGTGCCGTGGTCTTAGGGTGTTCACAGTTCTCTCTGACCAATGCTTCATCTCAGGGCTGTCTCACTTTATGGGGTGGACCTCCACACTCCACACACCCTCCCGCCAACTCCTCTCCACTGATTCTGCCTCTTCTGGAGGCCGCACAACTTATTAACACCCCTGTGCAGCTCTCTTAAGAGTTTCCCATGGTTTCTGTTTTATGTAAAGAAAGGTTGCAGACTAGTGCCCAGGCCCTGCACTCTACATGAGTGAGGGCTCAGCCTGTCCCCTCTGGGCTGAGCCCTTGCTTGGTCTTGTGTGTGCAGAGGGAAGCTTAGAAGGGGCAGCCTCCGGCTACGTGGTCGAGTGGGCTCCTAGGATCAGGCAGGTCCTGGTCCACATTCTAGCTGGCTGTATTGTCACAGCATGTACACTAAATTTCTTCAATGTCAGAGGGGCTTAAAGCCTTCTTCATGGGGTGGTTGTGCAGATTGAATGAGAATAACTGTCCAGTGTCTAGTGAGCATTCAGCAAGTAGCAGGTAATGTTGGTGCCTGCTGTTATTTTTAGAGGCCCTTTCAATTTTTGTTTTAAAATATATTTTTATTGATTTCAGAGAGTATGGGAGATGTGGAGATAGAAACATTGATGATGAGAGAGAATCATGGATCGGCTGCCTCCTGCACTCCCCACACTGGGGATCAAGCCCACAACCTGATCATGTGCCCTGACTGGGACTCGAACCGGTGACCTCCTGGATCATAGGTCGACGTTCAACCACTGAGCCACACCAGTTGGGTAGCGGCCCTTTCAATTTTAATCTTCCCTTCTCCATACCCAGTTTATGCCTTCCTTCATCTCCCCCTCCCTCCCAGTTAAGATAGAGGTGAGTTTGCTATATACTGTGTGCGGTATCATCTTAGCAGTTGGATATTCATTCTGACAATCTCATGGGACTTATCCTATATAATAAAAGGCCAGGACCATAAGCGTAAGACCGCTTGACCAGTCGCCTTGGGGGGCATTGACCACCTCTTGGTCCCCCCCCCCCCGCCCCGCAGGCTCCCATCGCAGCATGGCGAACAGGGAACCATGGTGAAGGGGGCCGGGGGGGGGGTAGCAGCGTGGCAGGACTGGTGACTGTTGAGTGGCAGTGGGCGGTGAGCAGCAAGCTGCGGTGAGCGTCCAGTGGCAAGCGGTGGTGAGCATCATGGGGCGGTGAGCATTGTGGAGTGTCGCATGGCGGGGAGTGTCATAGGGGCGGTGGTGTCAGAGGTGTGGATCGCGGAGCTTTGCAGGGCGGCGGAGGCAAGCATTGTGGAGTGTTGCAGGGCGGCGGCAGTGAGCGTCACAGGGTGTCCTGGGGCGGCGCAGGGCGGCAGACATGGCCCTGATCGGAGACTAGGCCTAGGGACCCTACTCGCGCGTGATTTCGTGCACTGGGCCTCTAGTATTTAAAATAAGTGTGATTGCCATACTGTGGTAGAAAACTGACCTTCTTGGTTGGTGTGGGTGTATGAGAATTATTGACCACTGTGCTCATGATTGCTGTGACTAAAGTTTTGTTTCTGTGGTCTAATTCTTGGCCAAAAAATTGTTCCCTTTTCCTGTTTTTGTATATTGCTCTGGATCATGTCCCTCGCTGTCTGTTTATTGCTTCTAAATGTGCTGTGGTTGGGGGTTATCAAATTTAAAATGCTACCCAGATTCAGAGCAGATAGGCTGTGAGTTGCTAGCCTGCTATGGGGCTAGGAGCTGGGCCTGGGCCTGGGCCTGTTGGCTGGTGTAGACAGAATGCAGACTTCGCTTCTAAAGCCGCATGTGGGGCACATCCAAGGAGCTCACAGGTTTTGGTGAATTGTGGACTGTTTTCTTACATGGAGCTAGTTTTGAGCTAAATGAAGGACGTGCCTTAGGGGCCTGGGGGCCATTGAAGGTATGAACAGAATGATCTTTTAGCAAAATGAGACTTTGAGGAAAGTCCCTGCTTCCCCTCCCGCCCACGCTGTGCCCCTGTGGACGGACCCCCTTGCTCGCCTTGCATATTTCTCTCTGAGGACTTGTGCTGGTTTTCATTCTCTTCTCTGTGTTCCAGGCCAAGTCCTGCGTCTGCCACGTCTGTGGAGTCCACCTGAGCAGGCTGCACTCCTGCCTCCACTGTGTCTTCTTTGGCTGTTTCACAAAGAAGCACATTCACGAACATGCGAAGTCCAAACGGCACAACCTGGGTAAGGCACCCTCTGCTACAGTGTTGGGAAGAGTTACTGCCCTCTGCTCTCTGGATTTAGATTTGCAGTTCCACTCTCTTAAAAGTCCACTTCTTTTGTCTAAAATAATTTGTGGCCTTCTTGTGAAACTATTTGTGCCCTTCTTGGGAAACTTCCCAGGGGAAATGAAAGATAAAAGTGACCTCAAAACAGATCTTTTTACCCCACCTTCCCGTGGGCATTTAAGTTGGTGAGGTAATCATATATATATATATTTTAGAGGCCCCGGTGCCCAAAAATTTTTGCCCTGGGGGGGGGGGGGGGTCCCTCAGCCCCGGCCTGTGCCCTCTCGCAGTCTGGGACCCCTCGGGAGATAATGACCTGCTGGCTTAGGCCTGCTCCGGGGTGGCAGAGGGCAGGCCCAATCTCTAGGTGCAGCCCCTGGTCGGGCTCAGAGCAGGGCTGATTGGGGAGTTGGGGCGCCACCCCCTGTCATGCACAGAGCAGGGCAGATTGGGAGGTTGCGATGCCACCCTCAGTCACGCTCAGGCTAGGGCCGATTGGGGGGTTGGGGCACCGCCCCCTGTCACACTCAAGGCAGGGTCGATGGGGAGGTTGCGGCGCCACCCCCTGTCACTCACAGAGCAGGGCCGATCAGGGGGTTGGGGCTCCGTAACCTGTCACGCACAGAGCAGGGTCCGTCAGGGGGTTGGGGAGCTCCCCCCTGTCACGCACAGAGTAGGGCCGATAGGGGAGTTGGGGCACCGCCCCCTGTCACACACAGAGCAGGGCGGATCAGGGGGTTGGGGCACCACCCTCTATCACCCACAGAGCAGGGCCGATCAGGGGGTTGGGGCGCTGCCACTGTCACAATCAGGGCAGGGCCGATGGGGAGGTTATGGCTCTACCCCGTCACACACAGAGCAGGGCCCGTGGGGGGCGGGGGTTGGGGCGCCGCACCCTGTCACACACAGAGCCGCAGGGTGATCAGGCGGTTGGGGAGCTCCCCCCTATCAGGCACAGAGCAGGGCTGATCAGGGGGTTTGGGCGCCTTCCCCTGTCACGAACAGAGCAGGGCGGATAGGGAGGTTGTGGCCCCGCCCCCTGTCACACACAGAGCTGCAGGGCGATCAGGGGGTTTGGGTGCTGCCCCCTGTCATGCTGATCCCGGTGCCGGGAGGCATATTACCCTTTTACTATATAGGATAGAGTCCTGGTGCGTGGGTGGGGGCCGGCTGGTTTGCCCTGAAGGGTGTCCTGGATCAGGGTGGGGGTCCCGCTTGGGTGCCTGGCCAGCCTGGATGAGGGGATGATGGCTGTTTGCAGCTGGTCACACACCCTTCAGGGTGGGGGTCCCCACTGGGGTGCCTGGCCAGTCTTGGTGAGGGGCTGAGGGCTGTTTTCAGGCTGGTGGGTGACTGAAGCTCCCAACCGCTCCTTTTTTTCTTTTTTTTAATTCTGGGCCAAGGCCTCTGCTGCTGAAAGCAGGTATCTGGTTTGTTTCGGTTCTATAATCGAAACAGTGTATCATCTCCAGCTCTGAGATCCCGCCTGGCTGAAACCTGGTTTCTGGGGTTTTGTTTAGCTTCTATATTTGTTACAATGTTTCAAACTGCCAGCTCAGAGGCCGGCAAGGCAGGCGGGGAACGTTGGAGTCCTCCTTCACTGAAGCAAGCAAGCCTCATGTTCGCTTCCAGGTGCCTGGCTGCCGGCCGCCATCTTGGCTGGCAGTTAATTTGCATATCGCCCTGATTAGCCAATGGGAAGGGTAGCGGTCGTACGCTAATTACCATGTTTCTCTTTTATTAGATAGGATATTTTATTTTTAATTGATTTCAGAGAGGGAGAGAGAAATAGAAACATCAATGATGAGAGAGAATTATCGGTTGGCTGCCTCCTGCACACCCCCACATTGGGGATCAAGCCCACAACCTGGGCATGTGCCCTGACCGGGAATTGAACCAGTGATCTACTGGTCGACATTCAACCACTGAGATATGATGGCCAGGCGGTGATGTAATATTTAATTATAAATTATGATGGCTGACCCCTTATATCCTGCTAACTTTCTTTGAAAAGTGCTTTTTCTTTAATGGATTATTAGAGCCTCAACTTCCCCTTTGAAAAACATCATTAGCATTTAGGTTAGGGAAATATTCACAAAGAAAGATCTTAAATGCGGTATTAGGTTACTGATGTTAACATGGAGTTATGTATATAGGCGATTTTTTGCTTTCAGTAATGGATTTTATTGTTCTGAGTAATACAAATTCATGAACATACTCACAGCACTGTGTGGCATCCGGATAGGGCTCCCTTTCGTACTTACAGATGGAAACTCACACGTCTGTAACTTCACGTAAAGCAGTGGTACTCAACCTTCTGGCCCTTTAAATACAGTTCCTCATGTTGTGACCCAACCATAAAAGTATTTTCGTTGCTATTTCATAACTGTAATGTTGCTACTGTTATGAATTATAATGTAAATATCTGATATGCAGGATGGTCTTAGGCGACCCCTGTGAACGGGTTGTTCGACCGCCAAAGGGGTCTCGACCCACAGGTTGAGAACCGCTGACGTAAAGGAAGGTTCTGCTCGTGGTTTTATTTTCTTGGTGGTTGTTAAACATTTGTCTCCTTCTGAATAGTGTTTTCTGTTAAATTTGTGAGATTGTCAGGGTATCCAAAGAATGTACCACAAAATGCTTCATGTCGTCCTAATTGAAAATGGTATTTCATGTCGTCCTAATTGAAAATGGTATTTCACAGATTACAAAGTCACTGTGCTGATCGTATCCCTTAAAGCTCCTGTAAGCAGTGTACATAGAGAAGGTAAAGTTGAGACTGACACAGTGCATGTCTGATTTTTCCTAAAAATATTTTTTTTGTAAGCAAATTGATGTTAAAACAACACGGATCTCTATCTTATATGATGTGTTCATGAGCCAGTTGTTTTATTACGGACACAGGGAAGCTGTCACCTTAATATCATGTGTTTTCAGTAGATACAATTACTTTTGTTGTTGTTAATCCTCACCCAAGGATATTTTTCTATTTTTTTAATGTATTTTTATTGATTTCAGAGAGGAATGAGAGAGAGAGAGAGAAACATCAGTGATGAGAGAGAATCATTGATTGGCAGCTCCTGCAAACGCCTACTAGGGATCTAGCCCGCAACCCAGGCATGTGCCCTTGATCAGAATCGAAACTGGGACCCTTCAGTCCGGAGGCTGATGCTCTATCCACTAAGCCAACCAGCTAGGGCTCCATTGATTTTTAAGGAGAGTGGAAGAGGGAAAGACAGAAAGAAACATCGATGTGAAAGAAACACATCAACTGGTTGCCTCCTGCATGAGCCCTGACCAGGGTCCAGCCGGGGAGAAGCCTGCAACCAAGGTACATACCCTTGACTGGAATCAAACTCGAGACCCTTTGGTCCGCAGGGCAGTGCTCTATCCACTGAGCAAACCGGCCAGGGCAGTAGCTACAATTATGATGGAAACATAACCTGAAGTCAACCTGAGTCTAAATGGTCAATGAAGACCTGGCCAGGTGGCTCCATTAGAACATCCTCCCTTACACCAAAAGGTTGTGGGTTTGATTCCCAGTCAAGGTGTGTATGGGATGCAACTGATCAATGTTTCTCTGTCACATCCATTTTTTTCTTTCTCTCTCTTCCTCTCTTAAATTAATAAAAACATATCCATGGGTGAGGATTTTAAAATCTTTTTTAAAAAGGTTAATCTATGACAAAGGATGCAAGAACATTCAATGGGGTGGGTAAGGTAAGTGGTGTATTCAATAAAGGCTTTGGGAAAATTGGACAGATACATGCAGAAAAATAAAACTAAACCACCTTGTTACACCATCTCATATATAATAAAAGTCTAATATGCAAATCGACCGAATGGCAGAACAACCGGTGGAATGACTGGTCGCTTTGATGCACACTGACCACCAGGGGGCAGACGCTCAATGCAGGAGCTTCCCCCAGTCTCCAGGCCCCAGGCCAGCCAAGGCAGGTGCCAGCAAGGGGACTGGGGGGGAGGGCGAATCCCCAATTGCTCCACCAGTTGCCCTGCAGAGGAAGGCGGCTGGTGGCGGCAGGGTTATCAGGGGGCATAGCCGGCTAGTGAGCGGGCTGGCACCACCCCCGATTGCCCTGCCGGTCGCCTCCCTCTGTGGGAGGTGACTGGTGGTGGCAGTAGGGGGTGGGGCTGGCAAGCGTGCAGCACCAGGTTGGCCAAGGCAGGTGCCAGCGGGGGCCCCCTGATCGCTCTGCCAGTCGCCCCACAGATTGGCCCTGATCACCGGCCAGGCCTAGGGACCCTACCCATGCATGAATTTCATGCATTGGGCCTCTAGTATGAGAATAAACTCAATCTGGATTAATGGCTTAAATGTAAGATTTGAAGTTATAAAACTCCTAGAAGGAAACATTGGCAATAAAATCTGAGACATTTCTCTAAATATATTTTTCCTGATATGTCTCCTTTGACAAGAAAAACAAAAACGAAACAGATCTAACTACATCAAACAACGTTTTGCAAAGCAAAGGAAACCATCAACAAAATGAGATGACTACCCACTGAATGGGAGAACATATTCACCAATGACGAATCTGATATGGGGTTAATATCGAAAATGTATGAACTATTTATAAAACTCAACATCAAAAACGTACAGTACAATAAAAAAGTAGGCAAAGGACCTGAATGGACACGTCTCCAAAGAGGACATACATAAAGCCACCAGACATGAAAACATGCTCCACATCAGTAATCACCAGAGATGTGAGAGAGAAACATTGATGGTTTACCGCCTGTACGCGCCCTGGCTGGGCCCTACTTCTGACATTCTAGCAAACAATCACAAAACACTAATTTGAAAGAATACGTGCACCCTATGCACATTGCAGCATTATTTACAATAGCCAAGATACTGAAGTTACCCAAGTGCCCATCAATAGCTGAGTGGTTAAAAATGTGGTATGTATATATGATGCAATATTACTTGCCCAT